GTGCAGTGGTGTTGGAGACATGGGGTGTGATACTTGGGGTATCTGGTCGGAGAATTATTCTCGTTGGTGGTCTTGTGGAGAGTCAAGATCGTCGTGAACTTACTTTGGCATGTAGTGTCGTGTGCGCAAGGCTGTACTGCAATTCCCATCGTGTATTTTGGCTCCACACTGTGATCTATTAGCCCTGCGATCAGTTTGAGACACGCTGAACTGATGCAATTTATGACTATCACAATGTAATCGTTCTCAAAGAGGACAGACAGTTAACCACACCACAACTAGTCCATTACGCCAACTAACTGTGCCATTGGCTGTTGTAACGAAAGCGTAGCGTCGAGAGTTTGGGCGAACAGTTAGTTGGTAGTAGTTAAGTTGGTGCCGTGGAAGTAAATGAATGAGTAATCAGAGATTTAATAACAACGTCTAGCCCAAGGAAATCACAGGTATCATAAAGAAGACGATGTACGCAGTCGTGTGAGTTGTGGCGCGTTTGATGGTTGCTCATGTGTTGTGGCGCGCTCTACGCTGACCGCCGATCCGCTTGTCCTTTTGGTCACACGCGACATCAACGCCTCTAGATTCTCTCAGTGAAGAGGAGAGTGCGCGAACTTGTGTCTGCATTCGAACAGTACGAACACTGCACTCGCCTTGCAAACGTCCAGGATAGGAAACCAAGTCCAGAACAGCCTGTCTTGAAACCCCCTTACCTGTTCAAAGTCCCGTCCCCAAGCCACGCAATACGACGCGACGGATGCATGCATGCTGCGCCGCACCCTTCACCACAAGGTATGCGGCTCCGATAGACACTGTTAGAGAACAGTAGCAAGAGGCGAGAGTATGCGTCTTTTTGACTTCAAGTACACCTCAAGTTCGTTTTTGCGTTGCAGCTTCAAGTGAAGGGGGCAGGGGCAATGGTGACGATTCGGGAGGATCGTCCCGTCTAGCGCTGCGGCTAATGACGTGTGACGTGAAACCTGGATGAAGCAACTTGAAAGCTTCCAGAAAGTACGCCGAATGCTTCCTGAAAAGCCCGTGAGAGGGGTGCTGTGATGGACGTTGCAACAGGCAAATGCGATGACTTGAAGTGGCGGGACACGGTGGCGGCAGGGACGATGGGTGATGCACGTAATTTGGGTCATTGCCCTCTTCGGCTGGCGTGCTGCACCGGAAGGCTCGAGGCGCAGAACCAACAGCGCCGTCAATAGTGGCCAGCAGCCTTGGTAATTACTGTAGAGTAGGACTTGGATTCGAGTCGCATGACGACTGCGTGAATGTATGGGTCTTATTTTACAGTACGCGTTGCGATTGTTGCAGGTGAAGAGCTCACGGGCGCTGTCATTCGTGGACTCAGATCCCAATCGGGCAAGGCGCCAGGCCTGACCAAGGATCTCACAAGAGCTTCATCTTCATGCGCCGGATCAACACGATTTCCAACACCCTCGCCAACCTCTTGTTGCTGCTTCACAAGTGCGCTTTCTGCGCTATCTCCTTATACTGACATTTCTCAGCATCTAGTCATCTCAGCGCTTCCGCTCGACTGTGCCACACGGAGCATTCCTTCTGCAGGGTTATTTCTGTCTTGCGAGCACTCGCAACCTCAACCTCTACAAGCAAATCGCGTGTAAAAATATCGAAACGGCTGTAGACTACCTCAAGATTAATTCATGAGTCTACGGATCCTTGACTCGGACTTCGCGTCACGCTGTCAAGCAAGTCACCGCGCTCACTAAGGCGACTGGTCATAGTAAGTACTTCACACCCAGCACTCACGTCGCGCAAAACCATCGCACGAATTTCAACAATGCACGGGTCCAGCAGTTCAGGGAACGATGGAATCGTCCGCTGGCTTTCTGCTACTGACATCGCGACGACCATATGCTGACACGTCTTGCTTACAGCACTACCACCACTCTACCTACCCCACAAGAGGGTGACAATATCAGAAACCCACCCAGAACCATATCTTGGACCCGTAAGTACCCAATCGCATACCCGAAGTTCGGTTCGAGTTTCCGCCACCCTCTCATCATGTTATGATTCCAGGCTAACGGCTGCTTCGTCCAGGTCTCCGCTTACAGGTCTCACATAACAACAATGCCGCCGAAACGAAAGTTCAAAGGCACAAAGGTTATCTCTAACAGCCCTCTGAAGGCACCGCGTAAGTCCGCAAGCCTACTACAATTGCCTCTTGATGCTCCCTATAGGGTTATGCTAACCTTGGCATAGCCGCTAGCGCATTGTCTAATAAGCGAAGTAGTCTTCAGGGTTCGAAGACATCTCGCCTTGCTCCTTCAGTACCGTTCCAAATGACAACGCGTCGCGGTGCAAAAGGCACGTCTAACCACACGAGCTCGGCTGGCCCGTCTAGCGCAAGCTCTGGCAGCCGTCGTAGTTCTCTGGATGAAAACGCGCAAAACGAGGATGCAACTCCCGACCATGAGGATGCGCGACCAGCCAAGCGCAGCCGAACATCGTCCGATTCTGGTTCGCCGCAAAGATCCAATGGCTCATTCGACAACAACACACCCATGAATGGCACCCAAACCCCAGAGCTTCAGAAACCTGCATCTAGTGCGACTTCAACGGCACCAAAAACAGCAGCAAAGAGGAGACGCGCATCAGACGATTCATCACAGTCCAGCAAAACACGTCCAAACGGAGTTCTCACCCGAACCCAAAGCGATGTCTCCGAACAACAACCGCGCAAAAAGCGCAAAACAAAAGAATCGCAAACCGATACCGCCGCCGACCAACCTCCTGAGTTAACTGATGCTAGCACTGCACCCAACTCACCTGAGCAGGTTCCAGATGTTGACGGCAGTCAAAGCCTTCAGAACGTTCTGCCGACCAATGGCGATGCCCCTGCAAAGTCCGGCAGGCGTTTGCCCGGTCGTCGGCGCCAACCGCATCCGGACATCAATGTGGAGACTGATTTGCGCCGACAGCTCAATCTTAAGATGAGCTATCGCAGTCTTGCAAAGGTCCAAAAGGCTTTATTAGAAGAGTTGGCAAACCGTACTACGAAGAATCTTGAAGATGACCCCCAGTATCACAAGAAATGTCCGGAGTACGAAGCCGTCATGGCCCAGCTGGACCAACGCCGCGACTCCCGTCTGGACCAGATCAATTCTCTGCGCACATATCGACTCGAGGAATTAGAGCGCATCCGCGTCGCCGAGGAGCACATTCAGCGAGAGCAATACGTCAATCGATTCCGGGAACTTCAGGATGACTTTATGCTCCAAATATTCTTCCGCGCGAAGCAGCTGGAGCGGGAGATGAAGAGCCAACACGCTGATGCCACAGACGACGAAGATAACATCCTTCCGCCAACATTCAGTGACGAAGTTCACCATGCCGAAGACTATCGCATCGGATCGAAGTTCGCCTCACGGAGCAGGGCTTACGTTGAGGCGGACAAGGAACTTGAGAACGACTCAGTACGACGGAAGTTCACTGCAGCACGAGTTGCCTTTGTTGAGAACGATGAAGAGGCTGATGATTCCATTGAGGACGTAGCTGGTGGCTTTGCCAAGTTTGACGGCCCAGATCGCACCGAAGCTATTGCGCATTACAACATTGCGAGCCTCGCTGATGCTGCCATCGAAGTCGAAAGGACGCCAACACCACAACCAGAACCAAAGGCGATTGAGGTCATTCCAAATGAGCATGCTGCTCTGCTCATGATGCTTGCAGATATATCAGCACATCAGCCGCGTACCACTGCCGCACCAAAACCTCAATACCACTACCCAGATCCTCGTCAGCAGCCCCCACCGCCGCCGCGAGCGACAACACCGGTTATCAAGCAAGAGTTTGTGCGAGAAAAGTCGCCGGAATTTGCACAGCCAGCCATGCCACTAGGATTGCCGTCGCAAGCTGCGCATAGCAGTCCGCCCAAAGTTACCCAGGTCGCAGTGGATCTTACTCAAAATGTTTCCCGTTCGGAGCCCAATGCTGCACCCTCAACGAAAGATACTGAGGTCCCTGCAAAGACAACTCCAAGGTTATCTACACATAGAATCATGGACATTCTCAATGACGATCAAGAAGTCCCAGTCTCGAGGACAAGGGAATCGCAATCCTCAACTCAGCAACCCAGCACACCATCAATGCGGGAATCTTCCATACATCCTCAAACGCCATCTAGGAGCGATGCTCTCAGAGTAGACGCTGTCATGAACAAGGAAGAGCCACCTATTGACCAGGCACTGATGGACGCATTGAGTGGCCCGCCTCAGAGCAACCCACCTTCGTCACCCCCATCGAACACTCAATCGTGGCAACACCCAAGTGTGCCACCCCAGACACGAGAGTCTGACGAGTCCTTACGTCGTCGGGATCCTCTGCAAAAGATCAGGGAACTTCTAGACCGGAAGGCACGCGAGCTTGGTCGAGAACCTCCAGACCGTTCTCACTACAGACAGGCTCCTGCTCACTGGAGAAACTCAATGCTCCCAAGCATAAACACCCAAGACCGAGGGGAAGTCGCGGCATATGATCCGACCAGGCCATCTACTGGGCTGTATGATGCATTACCGGGTAGTTATCATTCGCGTCGGCAATCCCATGAACAAGCTCCTCAGCCATGGGAACATGGCAGGAGGACAAGTGGCCATCAAGTCTCCCAACAATCAGCAGCATCGCCATATCAGGCCCATGCCCCTCAGCCTCACTATGGGGAACATAAGCAAGGCCCAACCCCACCAACACATCAAAGCCCGTATGCACCACCGTCAGGATCGTTGCCACTCCCTCCAAAGCCACCTGGTCCACTGCCATCAGCGCCGCCGATCAACTTCCGTTTCGCGCATTATGATCCTGCGCCGCCACGCCAACCGTATCCACCGCAATCACCAAGCTACCCACCCACCTCACATCCGCCACAAGGTCCGCCGCCACCGTCATACCAACCAGCATACGGTAGTGCTCCGTCCTACCAAGGCGGTTACATACCACCTCCAGGATCCTTCCAAGCACCACCCCCACCACCCTCCTCCATGGCCCCATACCAACCGCTTAAGATCCACCAGTACGGCGGCCAACCCATACTCCCCGCAAACATGGCACCACCCCCACATAGCGGACCACCGCCTCTGCCCTTCATCGGCCAATCTGGACCACCGCAACAACAGGGGCCTCCTCCTCCTCAGCACCAACAACAACAGCAGCAGCAGCAGCAAGCCTACTCTCCAACGCATCCCCACCCCCCACCGATGCAATACGAGCAACGCGAAGCGCACTCTCAGAGTAACGGTGAACGGTCTTCAGATTCACAATCAAGACCTAGACGGCAGTACAGAAGCTATCACGCCCCCGGCACGCAATTCCGAAGCTACCAAGGTCCCGGAGAACAGCGGAGGAGAGGCGGCTGAATGACCCACCACTAATTGTACATTACGATCCCACATGCCCTTCGCTACTAGTCTCATCTTTCCTTACCTTCTTCTCCTTCTCCTTTCTGTCGATATGTACAGGGAAAAGGGTTGCATAAAGCGGGGAACCTCTTGTTTTTTTTTCTTGGATAAACGGGCATTTGCATGTTTTTTTAGCTGCATTGGCGTTGTACTATCTTGTTATACATGTGTTCTTCTCTTTTGCATAGCCCCCTCCTTGTTTGTAGCATCTTTTCCAATTGGATACCCTGGGCGGTTTGCGCAGGATCTTGCGTGTGGGTGCGTTGTTTAGGTAGAATGGTTTATTTAACTGGTTACATGCATGCTCCCGTCGTCTTTGAGTGTGACTTGAACTGTAGAGGGATGTAATGATGTTAACTTGAAGATAGTTATGTTTCATTTGAAAGTACTTCGACGTAAAAATTGGGTATCACTAACACTACACTACATCCCGCTCACGGTATCTGCACGAGCACTTCGCACAAATCCGTTCCTCCCCTCTACGCCCTCCTCTTCACCCTAGGCGTAGGCGTCCATTCCTTTCCCAAACCCGATCCTCTCCCCTCGCCACCAAATCCAGCGGTTCCCCCACCCCTCGGCGTCGCCCCACCCATCCTCTCAAACAGTCTCTGAGCAGCCGGCGTCAAATCGCCCTTCGCCTTCCTCCCTGGCGTCATGCCCCCAGCAGCAGCAGTAGCCGACCCGCCCCTCTTAGGCGTCGGCGCACTCAAAAACCTCGGCGTCTCGCTCGTAAAGATGCCCAAGCCCAATCCCGTTGGCTTCGCCTGAGTGTGTGGATTCGATCGTTTCGCGCCGATTTTGTCGACCATTCTGTGATGCATCTTCTCGCGCGAGGAGGAGTCGTTGATGGTGAAGGGTGTGGCTGTGCTGCTGCTGTCTAGACCGTAGCGTTCTAGGAGGTCGGTTGGCGCGTCGTCGTCGTCTGAGGAGGGGGAAGGCGGTCGTGCGTCGACGAAGGCGTAGCCGTTTACGCGGGGTGTTTCGCTGCCTGTGTATCCTCCCTCGCTGGGATTAAGACGCGGGCGTCCTGCGACAGCGTCACGCACGGCGGAGAGAGTGGGGCTGGACGGGCGAGGGGGCTCAGCTTCGGGGGCGGGGAGGCGCGTGTTGTTGTAGAGGACTTTCTTTGGGGGCGCGAGGGACGAGTTTTCAGCTTCTTGGGCCCGCGTTGGTGCCCATTGTTCTACGCTGTCTGGGCCGAACATGAAGCTGTTTAGGGCGGTGTGGCGGTGGCCGGTGGGCGCTGCGGGTCGCTCGTCGAGGTTCTGGCTTGGTTTTGTGCTGAGGACGATTTCCTTGCCTTCGGATGCGGCGGCGCGGGCTTCGAGGACTTTCTGCTGTGCTATGCGCTGTTTGCTTGCATACATGTTTCCTTCGCGGAGCCAGACGTTCTTGTCGAACCGCGCCTTGTTCTGCTTGTCGATGATCTGACTGAAACTCTCCTGGTCTTCGCTCGTGTACTTTGCTTGGAATGCGCCTAGGCTCATGTTCAGGTCGACATTATCCAGTTTGCCTAGGCCTTCTTCGTCGTCTTCAATCTCCGTTCCAGCGACTGTGACAGGCGTGTCCGCGCCCCATACGCTTGGGGTCTTGTCGCCAGCGCCGCCTGCCCTGTCGAACCGCGTTCTCGCTGCCGTCTTTCTTTGCCCGCTCGGCACCGGCGTCATGACCTGTGTGAGCTTCTTGCCAGCCTCTCTTATCCATGATCGATCTTTGCTCTCCACCGCGTTCAGGTACTCTCGTTGTGCGTCGGCTTCCGCTAGCCCTGGGAAGAAGTCGCGGCGAATGATGTGCGAAACGGCGGAAACGTACGTGTCCTCGTCTAGGACTACGGAGGGACGTTTTATGCGTTTCGGTGCGGGAGGCGGTGGCATGAGCGCATTCGACGCGCTACGCTTCGTGAGCGCTGTTGAGTTGGAGTTGGACATGATGTGGTCGGGGTGGGGTTGGATTCGCAGGGCGAGTGGAGGTTTCCTGGTGGAAAGTGGCGGCGGTGCAAAGAACGACGAGGTTTGGATGCACCTGAGCGGTGGAGGGTAGGTTTCTGTGAGTGTTGTGCACCCACGTGGGCTGGTGAAAGAGCGTTGGCGCAAAGCGACTTTCGTGGACGATGATGTCTTAGCGTCGGCAGAAAGTATCCACCGCCTCCAGCCCTACCAAGGGTTGCGGGTGAAGGTACCTGCATAAGTACCAACACCAGTGACACAGAACACTAGGTTAGCCGCATGATGTCAGATCTTCATTATCTGAGCAGAATGAGGCCCCTTCAATGGACAGAACGTAGCGCTACTCTTGATATTTTTCCCTAGCATATCTGCATTGAATCTACGTGCGGTCGCACACAGTACCCTATCATGAGGAACTCCAGCTACTCAGATAATCTGGTACCAACGTAACGATATTTTTTGAGCCTGTGCTCTTCCGTGATAACATCATATCCAATATCCCGACCCTTTACAGGGCGAGTGCCTCGTGGCACTTCTTGACCCGGGACCAAATCGTGATTCTTTCAGCAGCGCACTAGACTTAATGGCGAGTGGAGTATAATACGGCATCCTAGCCAGTAGCCATGATCTAGTAGAAGGACTCGACCATAGCGTCCTTGTGTGTAGTGTTGATGTTGGAAGGGCCGTTGCCCTCGCCGAGCCTGAAGACAGACTCCACGACGGAGAGCTCGGTCGCTGTGGTATCAAGACCTGAATAATGAAGTTAGACCATGCCCATCTTGACGTTTTGCAAGTTTTGTACGTACCAGTGACAGCCATCCAGTCATTGACAACCATACCCGCACCAACGACAGCGCTACCGCGGTTCACACTACCAGCTACAAGCGGCACTTGGAGCAAACTCGACAGCTCGTCTTGATCCTGAATGCTTGTCTTTGGGTGTACGATACCACCCTGATTGCTCAGAGCCATGTAGCTTCCTGTGAGCACATTGTCCGCGATGGTTTGCCTGAACACCTCCACGCCCAGCACATCGGCTATGATCTCCTCTGTTTCGCGTTCTATATCTGGGTGTACGAGAGCGACGTGATCGTTGCAACATATTACGTTGCCGAGCGCTGATAGTCGCTCTTCTATCCTCTGGATCTTGACTTCGTCGGGTATGGAATTTCGGAGATGCTGGAGTTCTTGGTCTGTGGTTGTGGTGGGGACGAGGAGGCCTTTCTTGTTACTGTGGACTTGTTAGGTTCTGTCTTAGGGCGTGTGTCGCATAGCGCAAGCTATCGCAAGACCTTGAACGTACCCAGCGGTCAGTCTACCGATGATCCTGGTTCCGGCAATGGTGGCGTGGCAGATGGGAATGACATCTTGGAGTTCGGCTTCGAAAACACTGTTGCGCCACCGTCAGTACTAAGTTCTCGCAGGGTTTGCTGGCCACGATCGCATAGCATGTCGCCATACTGTAACAACCCGCGAAGAGCTATAGAGCTATGCGCACCTATAAAAGTTCTCGCTCGCGCCGACTGCGACGATCGCGTACGCGTTGGTGAGGGTAGCGAAGACACCGACTTCGTTTGAGTTTTCGAACTGGGCGCGGACAGCCATGATGATTGAGTTGAAAGTCGAGTATGTGTGTGAGGTTTTGTGGGGAGTGGAGAAGAGAAAGAAGGGTCTTTAGTACGCGGATAGTGAGCTCGTGAGTGAAGTCTGCAGAAACTGTGAAGGCGGGACTATTTTGTAAAGAGCGACATCATAAGCCCCGCTACTGGATTGGGCCTAGCGCCTTCGACTCATCTTGAGTGAACCGAACCCTGCATACTGGAAGGGCCCACCGCGTCCCTTCGCCACTGCATCTGGATGTTGGCGCTGGAACGGCTGTGACTGTGGAAGCGAAGAGTCATCACTTGGCGGCTTCGTCAGACGAGATGAGATGCGACGTTCATCTCAACGTGATGCGACTCATACCAGTCACCGTGCGCACTTTCGACGTGTCGCTGGGATCGCACGTCCATCATCGTGAAGCAAGCCACATCCCTTCACTCTGCGACATATGGCTGTGCACTCGCCCATTCTGTAGCCTCGCCCGACTTGCAGCCTCATGGCAACCGGTCGCATTGCTTAGCAACGACCACGAAACCTTGCGATAGACTTTCGGAGGATTACTCAAAGGCGACCCAAGTCCATCGGTGTGGTCGATACCTGATCAGAGCACCGGCTTTGCTCAAGTGCACGGTGCGAAGCTCCACATGACACATGTCAGTATACTCCCGTAGTCTTCCGGCTGATCGCAGTGATGCGCCCAACTTCTTCAGGTTCAACCTTGCGGTGATCAATGGAAGACGCGATAGCATAGAGAAGGTAATCGTTATATTGACGTCTCATCGTACAGTTGACGTAGCACGCATGACTATAATTACAAGATCATATAGTTCGTCAAGCTCGAACCATAGCGAGATTATCCAGGAGCAGCGCACGGTTGGCCGCTATGCTTCAGATCCCCAGCCACCGCGACAGGCACCCTTGCCTCACATCAAACTTCCAAGACGAACTGACAGGTGACAAGCGACAGGTATGGAACATGAAGATAATGGTATTGTAAAGTGGCTGATGGCGCCAAACTGGGCAAAGCAAATGGGTAATACGCTTTCGGTCACACTAGAACAAGCAGCAAAAAGAGAACGCCCGCTAAACTGCAGCATGCCGTACACGATACGCGTGGAGAATCGAAAAGTGGAAAATGTACAATAGCGGCTGCGCCTAGACAGTAGACCCAAAACGAGATCGAAGTAGATATCGAGGAGAGCGTTCATGCCGTGTGCCGGAGCCAGAAAAACATTAACACTTGCGTGATGGCATGATTATGATCGTAAATGGTTCGTTATGCAAATGCATCGCGTGCAAATGTCGGTTGTAAATTGTGAGATTCGGCCTGGAGAGGACGGTCGGAGAGGTTCGCTGGACTGTAAAGTGGGTGTCACTCATTACATGCGCGATGCGAGAATGGCCAGCGCGACGATGACACCGATCAGAAGCGTGCCAACTCCGGACATGACACGGTTGAGGTTGCGCCACCAGGTTGCTTTCTGGAAGGACTTGTCGTCGGCGGGCCCCATCGCTTGGGCGAATTGCTGTTCCAAGTCGGCCTGGCTGGCAGTTGGGGTACCAACAGCGTTCGGGTCGAGGGGTAGAGGAAGGAATGCGGCAATTATCCAAGCTGTGTTTCTGATTAGTACATGTCTTCATTCATACGGTGGTATCTCGTGGGTCAAGACTTACCAGGTGGGAACAGAAATCCTATACAGAAGAGCAGGATCTGTCTGTTTTGGCGCCCGAAGAGTGTGGCATGAACGTCATCGTCCAGTGATGGTGCGTTCCAAGCGCTGTACAATTGTCCTCTCCGATCTGTCCGGAGGTGCGGTGTTGAGTAACCGCTGAGCGGGTACATGTGAGGTCCGACTGCGTATACTGCTCCGTCAATCGAGTGAACGTCGTCTGCTAGCGAGACAGTATCGGCGTGTGAAGCGCGGTTCCTTGAATTGTTCCTCGGTCGGTTCCGTGGTCGGTAAATGCTGAGTGGGAAGTTGCTCTCTGAAGGGGTGCGCGATCGTCCGCTGTGGGCGGTTCCCAGCCGTACGCTCTCAGAAGACTCGGATTCCGGGGCTCCAACCGAGATGCGTTCTCCCTTTTGGTAGTAAACCCTTGCCCAAGCTGGAATGTTGTCTGCAATGAATCTCGACATATGCGACTGAGAAGATCCAGGTCGCTCGTCGCTCATCGATACTGCATCGGTACTATTGGCTCTGTTGCGCAAGTACCCCGAGTTCTTCATGCGCAGAGGGATCGATGTAGGCAGCGGCGAGATCGTGTCCATGTGTTCACTGTTGTCATCGGATGAAGATCTTGTCGTAGGAGAGAAGAGCGGCCGGGGCACTGGCACTGCAGAGAACTCGGTATGACCTTCCGACGATACATTGTCCGACGACGACTGTGCGCTCCCAATTGTCTGTCCCCTCCGGCGTGGAATCGCTGTTCGACCGTTGCCCGCATAGCTTTCTTGTGAATGTGATCTGGCGCCGAGCGACCGGGAGTTTCGTGCGAGGGATCGCGAATCGCGTTCGGAAACGGAGGCGATTGTTGACAGCTGGGAGCTCCAGTGATGTACCAGCGACGGGTCGTGCATCCGGGATGCGATGTTGGGCGCGTCCTGGGATTCGGCTCGCGAGCTAGTGCCGGACGGCGCGCGTACGACGGGGTAATTAATTCGGATACCGCTCGCAAAGGATGCTGTGCTGGCTTCATGAAGAGATGGCGATGGCTGCGACGAAGCTAGTGTATGTGTTGGTTCGATGCTGGTGTAGGAAATATCAGAAAACGTGAACGACTCTGTACTTTGTTGAGGATGCAATACAGGTTGTCGATAGTCAGTGTCACAAGTGAGAGCAGGCCCCCTAGCTTGACGTTCGGTTGCCGCTGGGCCTTGGGGAACTTCTGGTAACGGTCGACCGAAACTGACACTTGACGAGTTTCCGGCATTACTAATTGGGCGTGGTGTGGTGGTAGGAGCAGGTGAAGCAAAAGATGCAGCAGAGGCCTTAGGCGTTAATGCACGGTCGGAATCTCCTCCAGAAGAAGAGGGAGGAACAGCCCGGATAGTTGGCCTTGTAGATTGTGAGGAGACGACCTCCTCAAGTACCTCGAGGCCTTTTGGTTCATCTTCTAATTCCGGTGGGGGTGAGGATGGGGCAGTGCTCCCCTGGGAAAATCTTAAAGACGATGGCGTAAAAGAGGATGCTACGAGGGTATCTTCCTCTGACATGCTAGTGGAGCCCGAATGTCTGAAACCCTTCTTCCGTGACAGGATAGGCTGTGGTGTTCGCGCTCGGCTCGCCTCGAACTTTGCGATGGTACTGGCGACCTGGCTGCTATTTGAAACACGAGATCCCGGCCTTTCAAAGCCATAACCCGGCGCATGACGGGGTGGGGGCAGGATTTGCGAGGGTTCGCTGGGTACGGGATATTTCTGATAGATGTCATGTCCGGGATCTTGAACAATGCGGATGGTTGACCCAGAGTCGCGGTTAGTTTGCGAGTTTGAGCGTTCGTGAAGCGGCTTGCGGATAGGAGACGTGTTTGTTGACTGCGACTGCGGTGGGTCAAATCGAGGACCTTGTGCGAGAGTTTTTTCGAGTGCGTTTTGTGAGTCTGCGCGACTGTTGCGTTGTTGTGAGGACATGCTGTGGTGGTGGTGTGGGCCGAGGATGCCGAAATGTGGACTGGTGGTAAACGCGGGCGGAGAAGTCGAAACCGATCATTAATGACGGGGTGTGGGTAAAAAGACAGTAAAAATAGGACGTAAAGACAGTATGTGAAGATAGTCAAAGAGTGACAAAAGTGCTAAAACATATCAAAAAGAATGGCGGCCCGCAGGCATTAACAGTATGAGGAATGGAGGGAGGGAGGACGAGGAGTGGTGGTGAGTAGAGGACGGCGGGCGTCTGGCAGCAGCTCGGCCTAAAGAGGGTTCGTGGCTGTATGCAGAAGCAGGTTCGCGCTGCAGGAGCGATCCAATTGACAGCTCAGCCCCGGCCAGTCTGGAGCACGACCCGCGACTTATGATGACTTGTACAGAGATGGACCCAATTCGCACAATATGACTTTCGTCTAGCCTATACCGGTCGACAAGATGATATGAGCTGCTGGATGCGCGGTCCACCTGGGAGTGCGATCACTGCGACGCGCCTGGGGAACCCTCGTCGAACAGCCTTCCTAGTCAATCGGGAGAAGCGCGTCGCGGTTGAACGTTTAAAATGAAATTATATTTTGGGACGGGCCAGTGACGACGCGCAGCGTGGCGGACTAGCCGTTGAATGGCAGAGAGGCTGGCCAGTGGGCCTTTGGTTGTGCGTGCTGCAGGGGTAACGCGGGAGGGCGTGCTAAGACGTCGTGGGCGCTGATGGCGCGAGTCGCAGGAGCCGAGACGAGGGAACGGACGATCGGGGCACGTGATCCAGCGTGACCGATGGGGCTTGGCGGGGTATCGATGGTGAAAGGCTGCGCTGCGCCAACAAGATGCGCGCGACAACGCGGGGGGATCTCGAGCAGCTATAAACAACGCCCATGGTTCTTTTCCTGCCTCACCTGTAGTGCGTTTGACGTGCGGCTGCTTTTTTGCAACACCTCGCCATGCCTCCACCCCTCAACGGCTGGCGCGACAAGCTCAGTGCGCTCGAAGAGCTGTACCAGCGACATGTCAAGGGCGGTAAGTTGGCGCTCCTCCACCTCAAACCCTCCTAAACGCCTGCGCGACCCACATCGGACGAACTCTGCTGCGCTTTCTCATCGAAACATCGCCATGAGGTCTAACGTGGTGCCAGTTCCCAAACCGCCTGTTCTTTCGTCGAGAGTTGCGGCGCTTCTGTCGGTACGTTTCATGTTTGCTCCCCACCACCACTGCCATTGTTCTCACCCAATGGCACCGCACGCGCCAAACATGCTGAAATAGCTAACACCCACGCCTGCAGGCCGCCTATGTCTTCATCTACGTAATCCCCTTCTACCTGTCGCCCGCCACGCGACCCTCTCCGACTCTTACGCGCGATGCGCCGTCGTCGATACGCGCCCGGGTGCGCGCAGTGACCTTTTCCACCGTCCTATGCTCCGTCCTCACCATCGTCGTGCTATACCAACATGACGCATCGGCCATGGAGATCATCCGTTTGCTTGGCATCTGGCCTGTTTCACTTGTAGACACCATCCGGACCATGCTTCTAGTGAATATCCTCTTCGCGGGTCCCATCTTCGAGCATGGCATTGTAGACGGTGACTGGCGAGACTGGATCAAACTAAAGGGCGTCCACGAGACCCTGAGCAGCTGGATCGGATATAGGAACTACATAGTTGTAGGTCATCTACTCCAATCCACCCCTTCCTATTCTAACCTGCATAGGGCCCTGTTAGTGAAGAAGTCGTGTGGCGCTCTTTAATCATCCCCCTCCATGTCCTCGCGCAGTTCTCCGGCAAGCAGATCGTCTTCCTCACGCCACTGTACTTCGGCATCGCGCATCTCCACCACCTCTACGAGTTCCGCATAACCCACTCTGAAGTCCCGTTCTTCGTCGCCGTGCTCCGCTCACTCTTCCAGTTCACATACACGTCGCTCTTCGGTTTCTTCGCAGCCTTTGTCTTCATAAGAACCGGAAATGTCTACACGTGCATGATAGCGCATACCTTTTGCAACTGGATGGGCCTTCCGCGGTTCTACGGCCGTGTCGGTGTCGAAGCCGGCAGTCCCATCGGACCACCAGACGTTGACAAGAAGGACGATGAGCAGAAGAGCGTCCCACTGTATCGGGGCAGGGGTGTTGGATGGACCGTCGCCTACTATATTGTGCTTGTAGCAGGCGCTCTGGGCTTCTACTATCAGCTCTTTCCGCTGACTGAGAGCAGTCACGCCCTGCCTGTAGACTTGACGAAGGCGTAAGATCACCATGCGCAGTTGGTACGCAACAGGCTGCAAGCAGTAGACCACACTTAGATGTGCTGCACGCTCACGTATGAAGTATAGCACAAGTAATTACTATCGAGATGCTCATCTGAGTCTCGCAATAGCCCACCAATTATCCTTCTCATACCCCGACTCCAACACAACTCCACCAGCCTGCTCAATATCTCCCTCCAGCTCCCCTTTCCGGTACAAATGATAGTATCTCAAGAACGTCTTATCACCGTCCGGCTTCGGCGCCTCTTCCTTGTCAGCCTGACTCTCATCCTTCTTCTTCCTCCGCCCCTTCTCCTTCTCTTTCTTCTGCTTCAGGACCCACGGCACCATGACATCCTGCTCGTGACCCTCGTCCCAGCCTCTTCTACTGTCTTTCTGTTCAAGTGCCCAGACGTAGATGAGTGCTCTGCCACCCTCCTCTACAGCACCTCCACCTTGGTGCGACGGTGACGAAGGCCGCAGTAAATCCAAAACACACTTCACAGCCTCTACTCTCCGTGCCGGCGTAGACAAATGATGAATGACCGCTATCGAGATTGCGAAATCAAAAACCCCATTTGGATGTGGTAGCGAGAGATTGTCTGCTACGACTACATCGTGCGGTTCATGTTGTTTCGCAATTTTGACAAGGTTTGTAGATCTGTATCGACGTCAACTTTCACGGACAAAAGCCATTATTAGTCGTAGGATACTCAATCTAGTGAACAATAAAATAGAACATACCGATCACTACCCACAATCCACACTTTCTTATTGACAGCCAAATACTTCCCATTTCCACATCCGACATCTGCGCCTATAGCGCCATCATGTTGTTCTTTCAGGAAACGCTCGACTATGGGCCAGGGCTAGCATTCGCGTTAGTCATGCATGCGGTTTTGGAATATTTGTGACGGGTGGACGCACACCTTGTAGCGAGTTGAAGAAAAGTGGGATGCAATTTCTTCGTAGACCGAGTGAACGTGCTCGGCTTCGTAGGTTGCGCCTTGGGTTTCTGAGGTTGCCATGGTGGTTATTGCATCGATGGGTGAGTGGAGATGTGACTGCAGGGAGCGCTGATGTGCGTGCAGTGGTGATGGATGGGGAAACGGCCAATGGGGGGTGGAGGGGGTGCCAAGACGCTATTTGGGTGTGCGAATGTGCGTTTCGAGCGCTGCGTCTTTCATGCTCTACACTTGTAGCAAAGAGTCACAGAGCTCTTAGCTTGAACGTTTTGATCCTTCCCCTTCTAATTCTCACCCCGCTACCCACATTAAACTTCGTAAATCGGACTTGTACAAGATGCGCGCGGTTATTGGTAGATAGCGTTCCACCTGGACGCCGTGATTCTCATTATTCTCCTACTTCTCTATTTCCTACTTCTCTATTTCCTACTTGCTTCTGATTACTTCTTCCAATCATGTGAGGGGTATGATGCCGGTCACGATTGCGTTGGTCTAACCTCGATGCCTTTTTCCGTGGTTGACCCGGAAGTGTGCGCGGGCCGCCGTCTGATAATCCAGTTCATGTCCATGTCCATGTGCCAGACTATAACAGGGAATGTAAGCTTAGTACATTCTATAACGCTCGTAGACATAGCCTACTTGTTCACTTTTCTGTGTCAATGTTGTCTAAACGACAAAATCCAACAAATCCGTGCCTCTTGATTCTTTTTTTGTTTGCGTTCAAGGTTTAGCGTCTTTGCAACAGTTCTTTACATCACGAGCAGAGCACAATGCTCATTGTCTTCGAGACGTTCTTTGTCGTACGCAATGCCGTTTGAACTCTTCTTGCAGTGTATACAAGGGCACGCATCTTATTGCCAATGCCTCTGTATTCATTCCACATCTCATTTTTGAAACTATCTTCCAAGTCAAGTAGACCCAGCGATAACAGTGTTGGAGACGAACATGGTACACAGAGATTATCAGCTCCGTTCACGGCGAATAGCAGCAATTGGTCCGTCACTGCCACCCCGACCCCCACCTTCATATACGCCGGCGCAGCTTGCAAAGAATCAGATACTGGCAGGCATACCGAACTACTTTCCCATCCGACGCACAAGGCGACACGATCGAAGCAGAGGGCTGAATCGAAGTGGGAATGAATGCTACAGACTGGCGGCGTTACAGTGCCTCCTCCACCTCCCGAGAGCTTTGAGTTGGTTTCGACAACACAATGAAGTTCTCGCAAATACTGATGCCAATCCTCGTGTCAAGAACCCTTGTCATCTGAATCCAAGAAACGCTGTCACAGGGGTCGTAAGTAGAACGAAACAAAACTGTATGGCCTGCAATATGAGGGGACTCATTAGCCAATACTGGGGAGATCATCAAATGAACGGAGAAGAACCGCAGCCTCTTAACCCAAGCGATGCGAGACTTCGTTTGATATACAATTATTCTACAACAGACGATCGATTTGCACCTGATGGACAAGGAGTTGATCCACAGTGCGACGCCGAAGAATGGATGACCTACTTCCTGGATCAATGCCAACAAGCTTGCGACCCAAACTCGGCTCCAGACTGGAGGCCCGGTTACCAAGCACTCTTCCAGTTTGAGTTCGAAGAAGAACGCTTTTGCAGTGTTTGCGATACGCCTATATCACGGAGGACTAACGACCCAGCCTCTAGTTTTAAGCAACCCAGCATAGGCTTCATCAATTGTCCAATTGACCGCGCAAGCCCTGGTACAGTCGCAGACGCCATCAACGCCCAGCTGGTCGAACACCCCAGTGGCGGCGCTGGTATACGA